TTTGTTTATCTCCCTTCCTTTGTGATCAAAAGGAGTCTATCACAAAGAAATTCCCTATGAAATTTGGAACCTCTTATCAATGCTTGTTGACAATATGTAACTGAAACTTGACACCTTGTGAGACCTGATGTGATGCACTATTAGTTGGAAAAGGAACTAGACACAATTGTTCAACATCCCATTTCTCAACAAGTCTTGTATTCATAGAACACCAAACCCTTCATATTTTTCAAATTATTCTCTCTCTGCTACATGAATCATATGTGATTCATTGTATTGATTATCAAACTCTTTTCATACTGACTACACAAAAACCTTTAATTATCTACCCCTTCCGCTTTCAATTGATTTCAATTTATATCAATTGTTTTGCTCTATTTTTACTCATACAGTTGTCTCTGAAATAACCCATACCTTTCTATGGAACCCAAAAGGTATGGGTTTTCATAGAGTATGTGTTATCACAATGGTCTTCTGGGCTAAAAAGTGAAGATTATGAACCAAAAAAGCATGGGTTAGGCCAGAGTATGTGTTACAAGGGGTATGGGTTATTTCAGAGTTGACTGTAAATGTAATCATTCATATTCTCAAACTTATATTATGGAGTGGTGATTTTAGTACAATTGAGTCACACTTCTTTCCCAACTCTTAAATTCTTGTTGCTTTACCCCAAATTCTACCAGTTCCTCTATCACTTTCTCAATTTCAAAACATTTGGCTTTTTTTCTTCTCATTGTAACAACACACAGGCAACATTATATGCACTCAATGTTTTTTCTACCTGTTAATGTGTACTTTGCTTTTTGCTCTCTAAACTATCTTTCTTTGTACCCAATTACAGAATTTCCATCTTATTGTGCTCACTAATTTGCATTTCAATCTGGACACCACATCCATCTTCAAGACTATAAAGGTGGTGCCCATATTGGCTTTGACCAGTGAAAATTCTCTTTCAGTTTATATTAACAATCACTCACAATTGACATAAGAGGGTTTCACCTTCCTCTATAATTGTTGGAGTATGGATTCTCTTATGTCTTTGTTTATGATTTTCTTGAATTTTGTTCTGAACTGTTTCAATTACACCAATACATTTTCATCACTACAACATGAATATACTCCATTATTTACTGACGTGATTAAACTCAATGTCTTGTACCACTGCCATTTATAATCTTGTTGGTCATATCAAAAGCTTTCTTGTTTCAAACCTTATCAACATCTCATCCCTTCTATCTTCAGTGTTGCTGTGCAGATATCCTGACTGAGACTTTTGTTGGTTTTTCTCTTGATTAGGGATTCTGAGAATCCCATGATATTGCCATTTCCTGTATTCTGCAACAACAAATATCTGTCTTCTTCTAGATATCTTTTTGTCTTCAACCAATCCCAAGTTATTCACACACAAACATCTCCTCCATAAGCATGGAAAGTGACTGCTCCTCATTGAATTAAATATGCTTGGCACCTAATGGCATAGTTTCATTGCAGAACCCATCACTTGAATTGTAAGCAAATTCTGACTGTCATTGAAATGACCTGTGACAGAACCTTGGATATGAAGTATGAGGATATCTATATGTATAATGTCAATGAAAGAATTGTTGATACACCTCCTAGACTATGCATTCTGTTTGTCGCACATCACACAAGGGGAAATAAGTTGAGGCTGGAGAGATGGAAGTAGAGGAAGTAAGTGAAGTGCTCAATGTGTTCCTTGACTAATATCAAGGCTGGGTTACCCTTTTTTTCAACATCTCAGGCATTTGATTGACTTGAGACAATTATGGAAATGAAATTCATACTTTTCAAAAAATGCCAAAAGTTGTTTCATGACAATTTTATGTCCCAAATCATTTTGTGGTACAGGCCCCCTCTAATGCCCCTGTATGCAAAAACATATGTTAAAGTTTTGTCAACCTGGAAAATTTGGTTATTCATCTGGCATATGAAATGACATTTCTGTAAAGATGGGAAGTTTGTCTGTCTCCTTAACAAGATGGTGAGCAGGAGACTCTCCTCAAGGGAGGAAGTAGCTCAATCAAGTAATTTAAATCTGTTGTTATACTTGTGCAAAATCTTTTCAGACCCGTTTTACTTTGTGACTAAATGAACTCTTGCAGGCTTGACTATGTCTTCTCTTGTAGAGATAAAAGGAAAGACATATTGAGATTGCATATGACCTTTGTTCTAACAAAGTTTGAGGTACATGAAGTGTATCACCTCAAATTACCTCAAGCAAAGTTGCACACAATATTGTTCAGGGGAACATCAGACTGGGCATTGTATATCTTTTACACAATTAGAATTTCCTTAATATTACAGGAAATCACCCTGTTCAATCTTATCTTAATTATAAGATCAGTAACAGTACCATTTCCTTTTGATTTTACCTATGGTTCTATTCTTCTCATTCTTCTTTGTGGATCAATCCAAACAGTGTGTTCAACAGCACATTTCAGCAAAGCAAGGGACCCATTTACATTTTATGTGTCCCCAGGGATTTAAACCTCTATTTCAAGGAGATACATATATGCACATATTCCACCACATGCACATCCATGTGGCAGCCTGCATGTTTAGACCTGGGATCTTTTAAAAAAGATTCATTTTGGAAAACCATGCTATCCAAACATTTACTGGGAGGGTGTTTCCCATTTGGTGTTTGATGGGGATACAAGAAAACTCCCTCAAATTAGGGTTTGAAGGTGATCAAGACGCATTATGTTGTAATTGACCTTGCTTTGAGCTGTGCCATTGACAACTAGGGCTATGACCCAGGCCTGAAAGGCCATGATGGCCCTCAAAAATCAAGCAGGGTAGACCAAGGCACACCCCAAATTGGGGAGTTCATGGGGCAGTATCAAGTTTGGGCTCAGAAAGAAGCACAGAAAGGGCATGATTGGGGAGGCATATATCTCATATTCATGTGTATCTACTACTCAAATGTAAAGCAATAATGTACCTACTTAAAGATAAGAAGAACAAGGCTACACAAACTGCATGGACACATTTCTGAGAGCACATATCAACTATTTATTCAAGTATCAAGTCATCATATAACCAGTCAAAAAAAGAAAAGCACATGTATATATTAACCCTTCAATCAAGTATAAAGTCTCAATAACTACTTGAAAAGGAAAAGATATTCTTACAATAAAGGCTTGGACCAACTATTGAGACATATTTGAGCCACAATATTTTGCAAAGTGAAAGACACCCAGTGGTCACTTGTGAATCTTAAAGCTGCAGAGAGACATATTTTCAGATGTAGCACTAGTGGCTGGCACAGCAAGCATAGCTTTTGCCATACGTGCTAGAGTGGGGCAGTGATGTTGATTCAAACTCCAGTAATGAAAAATGTCACATTGCTTGTCTTCTTGAGGAGCAGTGAAATACTCGTTGACCTTGTTCTCAACCGGAATCACTTTGTGGCACTTCACAAAGTGCTGAGGTCAATAAAGGATGAGAGTTCCTTCTTGAGGTCTGATAATGTTGACATCAGTATCATAAGCTCGTATAAACTTTCTGGCTAGGTTTGTGAAATATTTGAATAAGTCTTCAGGTCCCCAACCAAGGGATTCTGTGGTTGAAGCTTTGACCACATTGACTTTGAGGTGAGGATCAAGTATAGCAGCACAGATATAGACTGCTTTATTCTGAGCAGCTCATTGATAATGGATGATCTTTTCATTGTTGGCAGGATACACAATTTTAGCTTCTTGCAGCCGGAGTTGTCCCAAGCCTGTGAAACAAGAAGTCAAATATATAAGTTTATGGTCAAAACTATGAAGAAGATGTGAGAGAAAAAAGTCAAAGAAGTTGTGAAAGAAGCTAAACTCACCACTTCAAGTCTTTTAGCTACTGATAGTCAGGCATAACAAGAGAGAAGTTTGGATACATGTGACCTTTGGTATCTTTGATGACATGAGCAAGAGGAGTCAAAGGCTGAACAAGAGCCTCCAATCAAATGACAATGATTCAAGGGCAGGATTCCCATTGCATACATGTAATGGAACTGGCTGGAGTTCAGAGAATTTTTTGCGGTAAGCATGAGTTGAAGACCACCAAGTAGAAACCTTGTGGCTTGGAACAATCCTGAACAGTGTCTTTGAGGGCGGATAGTACCAACACCCCCCAAGCAAGATGTCACGTGATCCTGCTGTTAATATGTTTTGTGTGGTCAGGACAGGAGTCAAATGTGAAATATTCACCTATTCTCATTACAATTGCGCATAGCACATGAGTTTCTTGAATAAGGGAAGTGTAAAGATTGGCTGGATATAAGAAAGAATCAACGGCTGGTCCATAGGGAGTGCATGAATCCGGCATCATGTCTGCCGGTCGGGCCTGAACAGACTGCGCTCACGGTTTGTCGACCAACGGCCCACGGGTGCCCATTCACATCCACTTTCATCATTTACCGTGGCTTCAAGTTGCCAACGACAGAACGACGCCATCAACTTCCGCAAGACTGAATGGGTTTATTCAATAGGACGCCACCAGCTATACCAAGTCGGTTAACATCTCCTTAACTGACCCTACACGTCTTGCTAAACCTCATCTACTCACCGAAGCTCACTCCCGACCCGGTTTCAAGCCTCCATTACCTCCGAGACCACAGCACCAAGTACATGGGAACTCAGGTCCTGAGCCGGTACTAGCTGGGTAAATCACGAGCTCGTAACCTCGTTTGAAAGAGTGTAGGAACCTGCCCAGGCTCTAGCTGACTCCTTCAAATACTTTGATCCGTGATTTTGACATAGATACTATGCCAACTGGTGAGTGATCAAGTTGATCGATCACATATCTAAGCTTACACATTTGGATCATGCAGGACGGTCTATGCAAAGCCACCCTTTCCACCATCGCGAGCAGCATACTACCATCTCAATACTATCCTGTCAGTCATTGGCACGGCAAGCTTTCTGCGTAAAATCATTTGAATCGCATCCTGACGTGTATGGCCATTCTTGGCGGCTGGCCGAACTTTATGAAGCTACGCATTCGCAAAGGTTACTCCAAATGGAGAGGTCTCGCTCTCTGATCCATGGGGAGACATTGAAAAACCGTTCGAACCTTCACTTGGAACACCTGAATCTGACCCCGGTTTCAAGGTCAGTCAGGAGCCTGACGCAGATACCACGCTCTATAGCCTAGATTCCACCTCGCAGGCTTGATCTCAGTCAGATTTGTACAGCCCGTTAGAAGACCTTATTCACAACATTCTTAAACCCTACAACTTGGGTTTGATTACCTGTTTGTGGGTTGACGTTTCTTGATTTCAGGGTAATCTAGGAGAAATCGCGATCATGAAACACCGCAATCCCAAATTAAGGTGTCAACTTTCCATAGGCGGAGCAGGCGATGAAATTACACGAAATTTTCAACAAATCGTCAAGTCCGAACAGTCTATGCGACAATTTGCTGGTGATTGTGTCGAGCTTTGTCGAAAATATGGCTTTGACGGGATAGATGTGGACTATGAGCATCCTGAGAATGCCAGCGAGGGCCGAGGTCTCTTAGAGCTACTCCGTCACATCCGAGGCTGTTTAGATCATTTTGGTCAGCAGATCAATCGGCCAGAAAGATACCTTCTCACAGTGGCTACGAGCATGGGTGAATGGTCAGCGACTCATCTCCCATTGCACGAGATGAATCAAGTGATCGACCGGTGAGAGCCTTATATTACTTCCACCACTTTTCCTGTTCATCGTCGGTTAGCTTCGTTGACTCGTCCGTTGATCCGTCTCAGGATTTATCTGATGACATACGATGCCTCAGGAAGCTGGGACAAGACTCTGAATCATCATGCGCCACTGCATGGTCCTCCGCATGCACTCTCGGCAAATAAGACGGTTCATTTTTACCACTCACGCGGCATTCCACTCCACAAACTTATCTTTGGTGCCCCACTCTACTCGCGGTCTTTCATAACCAAGGGTGGAAGGTGTGGCGAGCAGTATGAGCGCGTGAGTGGTCCTGCCGAGGGTGCGAGTGGAGAGGGTACCCATATGTATAATGTAGGTCATCTTGTCCTTAGCCCCTAGAGATGAGTCGTCATCTTCCTCCTGCCACTCCTCTCACAATTGGCTACAAATCTGAGTCCACTTGAGATGGAGTGTGGACACATTGTGCAAGTCCTGCGCGCACTTGTGATTTCGGGCCATGGTGACTGACACACGACTCTGACTGTCTGCATGTCTCATAGGTCCTTCCTAAGCCCGGGGCGACTGAGTACCATGATCCTGAACTTGGGGTGGCCTACAGCTTTGATGGGCAAGAATGGTGCTCCTATGACACCCCCACCAGTATGCGATGGAAGATTGCATTTGTTAAAGAACGTGGTCTGGGCGGAGTGTTTTTCTGGGATCTTGCTGGCGGTCATCCAGGGCAAACACCACCGCATCCTCGAGATCTGGTTGCTGTGTCTTGGGAAGGCTTGTTCGGTGGGGCGCTTGGGTCATATTGAGCAACAGATCATGACTAATAGGCTAGTACACAGCCCCCGGCTGTATCAAATCTTCAGTGTCGTTAAAAGCGAGACTAAGAGACACCGCTCATTGCGTTTGTACACAGTAAACTGTCAGAAAAATATCATCGACGATCAAATAAACTTTCTTGCAGCCCAAGCTGTTATATTGTAACAGAAGATAGTGCGTTCACCAATTCCCAGTCCTACCAATATCTGTGCTGCTCGGTCAGCAAACTTTGTGCATGTGCCGCAGAGCCTCGAATTTTCTTTTCTTGTTTGGTCTTCGTCAGGTTCTGGGGTCTTTTATCGACCAGGAATAGCAAGTTCATTCAGCGCGTAAGAGAGTTGAGAAAGATATGAACAACTGTGCCAAATCACCTCGCTCTTTCTGAACTCATTTTCGAAAACGAGAAATATATAACGTGCATCCATTTTCCCTAATGGGGAGTATCTCATGTGAGAGATCATCGATATCAACGATAAGGTCCGTGGAGACCATCCCCGATTTTTGTGTGCGATGAGTCAAGATGGATTTGGGGTTTTTTGTTGTTTGTAGCATCTCACATGACGTAGCGAAAGATGTTGACAAAAATAGTGAGTGATTGATTTCTACCAGGCAAGCTGCCTTGAGGTTTTTTCTCTTTGTTCGCGATGAGATTTTCGTGGAAACATGTCAAATTCTATCTTGGAAGACCCAACACAAAGTCTTTAAACCGTTTCAGAGTGAGATCTTTCCGCATCATCCATGATGGCTATGTAAAAAAGAAATCGAATGAGAGCGATCGGAGCATAAGAATAGGCTTCCAACAAAATCAAAAGAAAAACAAGTTAAATTGGCAGTGTTGTCCCCCCTGGAGTCTAAATGCTCAGCCCAGCTAGTCATTCAAGTATACCATCTTTCTTATGGATGAAATGAAATCTAAACACCGCCATTGAACACACTTATAGGGCAGATAGTGGTAAATATGAATATTGAGGTGGTGTAGACAGGTGATGTACCATATCTCAGTCAACGCATCGACGTACAAGCACTTTCCTACGGAACTATTGCCGTCGACCTTGAGCTGGAAGGGTATAAAAGAAAAGCTTTTTCTCCTTGTTGGGTTGGCTCTTTTTCTCATCCTCTCATATCTCCGATTCCATTGACAACCTCTTTCAAAAACTTATACACCCTGAGCTCTCAATTTTCTTTTGAATCAAAGATACGTTGCTCAAAAAAGTGCTTCTTATCTTGACTTGTACTGGTTAGCCTCAATTTCTCTGTCTCCATGTTTTAGCTCGATTAATCATCGTCATGCTTTTTATCACGTCTTTCGACTGAGTCTGTGCTCCCCATAAAGTATGCCTTTCCGTACGATATAATGATATCTCTCACAAATACCAACAAAAGTCTATCTCATTCTTCAGCCTGCTTCAGATATTAATAAGTCCCCAGCGTTTACAAAACCGTCAAGACAATGGTTTTTCACAAATGTGTGATAAATTAATAGAGGTGGAAAAGAAGTCAAGTGACTGTCAAGAAAGTGGATTTGGATGTGGCGGTTACAAGTTTGAATCAATCAAAGTCAGATTATTCTGAGGCCAGTCACCACCCTCTGTACTAGTGGATGCAAAGCCAGTCCTGATCAGACTGTAAGTGAATCATGGACCTTTACATAAGGTCCTACAATCACCTTGCTGATCTGCTCACGATGTGGCTCTTGAACTTTTAAGAACCAATATACAACTAGCATAGGCACATGCCTCAAGTCTTTGGACTCATGACAATCTTCCTATCCAGAGATCTTCTCCAACCTTTGGAAAAATTTTAAACTAGTACTTCAAATTGGAAACAATTCAGGTGTAGATGTGAAGCAAATTGTGACCAGCCTGAGTATTGACGTTAACCTTTTGGAAAAGGTTAACTTCCAAATCAGTGGTTTTATACAATTTCTCACCAGTTCTAGTTCCAGCTATAGTTCTAGCTCCAAGTCTTCCAAGTCTAGTTCGAGCTCTGAGAATGAGGTTAGTTCGAGCCATGAGTCTAACAATAAATTCAACTCACTTCTTGATGCTAATATGTACGATTAGTGATAAGAGGTGAAGGAGATGGGATGTAAAAAGAGATATTGGTGTCTTTTTCTATTGTCAAAGTACCCGAACTTCAGTTTCTTTCTCTTTGAAGTTGTATGTCCTTCAAATCAAAGTGGTCCATGTTCTTTGCGGACCTATCATATCATATGTTTTCTTCAGAAATCGAGTCTGTCATATTGTCCAAGAAATCTCTATTACCTTGCCATCAACGCTCATGAGACTCTAGAGTGAACTTTAGTTAAGTTTGCCGAGGTTCCATTTTGTTACGGAAAGGTGTCGAGTCAAACATTCTGCTGCTACTCTTGAAGCGTGAGATCAAGTGAGTTGTTTTTCGACCTTTTTTACTACACCGGTTTGACTCAACCCACAGCATTGGAACAAGAGGCGATGCCACCAAGCCACCGTGGAGGATTTGACTTTTGCGCTGATGAGGTGGCAGGGTGGTGCAGTCAAAACGCTTTGATATCTTTCGCACTGACTCTAAATTGTAACAAAGTTCTGTTCCCTCAGTGAAGTTTTTCAATTTGGAATCACAATTGATCAGAGATTCTTCAGTAAATCCAAGACAATGTCAATAATCCAAATTTCTATCATAGGTAAAAAACAATTCCATAAGAAACACTTTCAAGCAAATCACAATGAAAGAGAGATAAGACTTCTATAAGATTTTTTTGTTTTAAAAAAATTACAAGAAGTAATTGATACTAAAAGAATAAGAATATCGAATTGAGAAAAATTGAAGATTATGTGTTGTACAACAAAGCAGTTTGAAGAATACAATTATAAATTAATTGGAAGGAAAGGAATCATTCTTATCTATACACATCATTTCAAAGTTAAAATTCCTATTCCTTTTTCGTATCTGAAATGAATGAAATTTATAAGATGATATGAGGACATCAGTACCTCGAAATCGCGCTCGGTTTTGTCCTCATCTGATGATAAGTCACATCTGGGTTCCAAGTGGCTAGAGAGTCTATGTTGAGCGAGCCATTGTGATAAATATTTTGATGGTAAAACACTGTGTCTCAGAAGATTGGATAGTACTAATGATGCAGGTATTTCCTTCGAAGCTTGATCCAAGATATATGCGATTTTTCGACATCTCAATTGCTTAGTAGCTGAGCTGCAATATAGATATCATGATTGTACACATTAATACCAAGGTTGGACAGTGCGTATTAATCGAGACTGATTTAGATGTCATCAGATATTTTTGTTGGTCTCCGATTCCACCGATACTAAAACCAGGAGGTAAAGGATTAAAACCAGGTGGAATTACAGAACTACCCCTAGCAGGAACCGGAAAGCTATGGTTAGACGGAGTTGTGGATGTACTAGGACCGGTTCCCGGAGTTGTCTCAGAAGTCTTGTTGGACGAAGTCACCGAGAGTATTTGCGCTGACTCAGGTAAAGTTGCATTATGTGGAAGATCGGAGTCTTTAGGTAGAGTAGTGTTGACGGGTCCTTTAACAACGCTGAACAGAGGAGAATTGTCCAAAGCAGTTTTCTCGCCACTCTTGACTGCGACGATAGAGTATATAGGTTCTGAACTTGTTGGTAGTACATCACCTTCAGAAGAATTAGATCCAACTCCGTCTTTGGGTTTAGAAGTGAATGTGATATGACCCATTGTAGTATTGACTGAAGAGGCCAAGAGACGTAATTGAGATGGACCAAAAGGTGAAGTTGAAGAAGAAAATATGTAAAGATCGATTAAAGGAGGATCGGATGGTCCAGAAGTAAAAATGATCGTATTGAAATCTGTTGAGCTGTAATCAAAAGTGTATTATAACAATCATCAGGGTTAAGTAACTTCAAAAGAAAGAAAAGGGATACAAGCTGAAAGGACTTACCTGAAGATAGTTCCATTCGTAGGCTGAAGGAATGTGAACCCGTTGGTGATTCGAAAGAAGACCGAAACCAGTAAAGAAGACAGCAAAACCGTCCTTCGTCCGATATCGATCATTTCTTATGATAAAGCAAAAGTAAGGATTGACTTTGTGTTAGGTAATATGTTAGAGATAAGTTCAAATAGTGGGTTGATGGATGAATGAATGAATGACAAAGAACTATTTTCTAAAATGCTGAGTTGATAATGAAAGGATAATCAAAAGGTAAACGGTCATGAAGTTAATTCCGATTTCCGCCTTTCAAAGATGGTGCATTTTAAAATTTTACCCTTCAACACATGTTCCAGAATCCATAACTTTAACTTTCCACCGAATTCGGTTATCCATATCGAATTCAAAAACGCCCATTTACAAATACGGTACATATACGGCTTTTTTGAGGGTGGCAAATTCAAATTCCCGGCAGGAACTCTTCACCTTCCCTTTATCAAAATGGTGACCACAAAGATTTAAGTGACCAAGATGCTCAGAAGACAGGGAACCGAGAAGACAAGGTCAGATTGTGATGTATATACCTGAATGGTCAATGCATGCTGGCCGGTCTTGCGGTGTATTGCTTTTTCTACACTCATCTAAGCGCTGCATCTTCATCCCATGGTCAGATGGCTTTGATCGCCGACCTCAGCTTTTGGAATGACTGGCAGGAAACCATACCACATGCCAAGTAGTTTGGAGGCGGTAGGTGGAATTCGGGCAGGCATAGGGTACATATCCGTCATGATCTATACGGGATGATACACATAGTGCGCTGTTGACCAATGTATTCTAATGGCTAATCTGAGGTACTGGCTCGTCCAAGTTTCTTTGCCTTATCTTTATAAACAGTTTTGCGCATCATGTCACAAGACAGAGTCTAAAAGGTTTAACAGACCATTCAGTTCATTGAGACTTCAACTTTGATATATTCTCAACATACGTTGATGGGACAAGAGTAAGCGGCAGAATGCGAGTATCAGGCGAGAGTCCAGATCCAAAGATGTACAGAAGCAGATTACTCCACAGGCCAGTAAGATCACTCACGCATCGACATAGAGGGAGTAGGCTTTTTAAAAAGATGGACCCTACTATACCTCGGAAGCAATCCTCAACATGATTATCGCGTTCTTCTCGAAGCACCCCTAGTGATCAATTATTGTCAAACAGCTCACAGTGCAAGGTTGCAAATTTTCAGGAAGTAGCGAGCTTTTATGTAAGTTCAATTAGTGAGGTTACGAGAAATATATTGAAAGGGAATTTTGGAATATCTAGTGAGGATGTTAGCTCGGGGAGTGTATTGTAGTCAAATAGGTCAACTTGAAGTGACTTATGTCTAGTTGGAACGATGATGGTGTAAAGATATTCAAGTTTGATATATCTTTTACCTCAAACGAATATCACAGCTATATGACGTTACAGGAGAGCTTTCTTTAGCGCGATACACCCACCTCCTCATGTTGATCAGGTGCTGCGATCAATGATGAATCCCATTCTCATATGATCAGACTGAACTTCTAGCACAAAGACAAGGTCAGTCAATTTTTTCATAACTTAGAAGCGTATCATCTCCTTCGAGGTTTAATGAACTGTCCGTCAGAGGGTCGTTGGTGTTGGCATGTAGATATCGAACTAGATTATGATGAACACATGAGATGTGACGTAGAACCCGGCAAGGTGACTGGGAGGCTGAGAAGTTGATTGACAGGGGCGTAAGATGGCCTCAATTGTATATTTTCTTAGCACCTGTACGATTGTTTTGTCTGATGACTTTGCGGCTGGCTTTGACTTCAAGTTTAGCTGCTAATTCGGCCCCTCGTTCCCTCTTGAGTTTTTGTTTACTTGTTAGCGGCCTTGATGGTTTAGGTTTTGTCTGTGATACTGTCGCGCTAGGTGAAGTTCGAGTATGCGAGGAGTTCCCTGTTACAATTTCAGGGTCGACGGATGCACATTCGGCTGTGTCCAGCTTTGGCATGGGCTGGGCCCGACGTTCCGATCCTGAATGTTAAAAAAAAGCAATCAGACTGGATGAGTTGACCATGAGCCGGGAGATATGCAGAAGACAAAGGTAGATATGAAAGAATCTTACGTGTTGCCTTTTTTCTTTGGACGCCCATCTGAAATCGTCCAATTTTTCTCAAAGAGAGAAGGTACAGATGACAGTGTGACTGTGAAGAGTCAAATCAGGCCAATGTCAAAAGTTGGACGCAGATTTGAGTCAGTGATGTACCGGGTTACCGGAGCGCAGTGCGGTCCGCCAAATGATGCTAAGTCAACCCTAACCACGACCTTTGCGGACAATACTATAGACTAAGAAAATTGGTCAGGACTCAGCAGGATTTCAAATTTTGAACCATTTGAAAGGTGGTTTCGAGGATTTTTCCTTGATTTGTTTACCGTGAGAGCGAGGCTGAGGATTCATAAACAAATCATATCGCATTCTTCATTCATACCTTTTCCTGAAGATCACGATTTGAGATGGATAAGAAACACAACGCGCCGGAAGATGACGAATCCCCAACGTCACGCGTCAGTTCACTTTTCCATTCTATCGTGTTTCGATTTGGTCTCAAGCTTGTGACTGTTAACCCTTACAGAAACGAGCGCGAGTAGACAAAACGCGCGAGGATGCATTTGACGGAGGTGTAATCGATGTGAAGGACTCGGAGTCCGAATACGAGTACGACAAGGCAGAAGAGGAGGCGCTTCGTCAAGGTGCTCAAGAGATGGCCAAGCGCGCCCCAAAAACGGGGACGGCTAGGAGAGCGGGTGCTATCGAACAGCTCGAAGTATTCAAGTTTATGTGTCACGACTATTTGGTTATCAATTTCGGTCCACAAGCGAACTTCATCATCGGACGCAATGGTAGCGGCAAGAGTGCGATCTTGACTGGAATTATCCTCGCGCTAGGAGGCAAAGCCTCCACCACGGTGCGTATCGTTTTTTGGATCTTGAAGTGCAAGCCCCAGCATATAATTGAGGCACTCATCTTTCTTATGCATCCGATCAGAGTCGTGCTACTTCCTTGAAAGGTTTCATCAAACACGGTCAAAGTCGAGCAGAGGTAAAACTGCAAATGAGTAACCGTGGCGAGGAAGCTTACCGCCCAGATGTCTACGGCGAAACGATCATCATCGAGAGAGCGATCACAAAAGAGGGTGGCGGTGGCTACAAAATCAAGAGTGGACGCGATAACAAAGTAATCAGTACTCAGCGGGCAGAACTGCAAAATATTTTGGATCATTTTATGATCCAAGCCGATAACCCACTCAACGTACTGAGCCAAGATGCCGCCAAACTCTTCCTGAGTGCTAGTACTAGTAAAGACAAATATGCGGTACGTACAGATGCTACCCGTGATCCCAGAGATTCTGATCGAATTTTATCTGTCAGCTATTTATACGTGGTACACAACTTCAACAACTTACCGACGAGTATGGAGAGATTGAGAACAATATCAGGACCGCCAAAGTGATTCTGGACAATAAGAAGCAGGCGATGAGCTCGATACACGACAAAGCCAAACGTGCAAAAGCGGTTTTAAAGGACGTAGAGCAAGCTTTTGAGCATGGGACCAAGCAGCGTCTGCTCCAAAAGGAGTTGGCATGGGCCTATGTTGCCGATGCCGAAGCGGTGAGTCCCCCTATCAGCCTCCAAGGTATTGCATGCACGCCCTGATCCGATGTGCTTTTCCAAATCAGCAACAAGCGCAGTTGGCGGAGGCGGTTCAAGAAGAAGAGGCTATCATTCCGCAGTGTGAGACTGAAGTAAACAAAGCTGAAGTGGGTGCAGAGATTTTCCCGAAAAGATGTCGAATCTCGCGATCCTCAACACATGATGTTTGTCGCCTCGTTTTTAGGTAGCATTGGCGGATGCGGAACAAGAGATAGCTACTTTGAATAACAAAATGTCAGCCGCCAACGATGATCAGCTGCAACAGAAATGTGGCGAACTCAAGAACGACCTCAAGAAGCGATATGAAGAACTCAAAAGGCTCGCTGTTGAGTCGGTTCCTATCTCCAAGCCTTGATGTTCTGGAGAGCTGATGTTTCTTAAATCATTATCAGAACGACTTGAGGGATTACAACTCAACAACCAACCGATTGAGAAAAGACTTGGAGGCTCAGCAGGTTCTGATAGATCAAGAGAATGCGAGAGCATCCCGCACGACTGCCATGACACGCCAAGATGCTATCAACCGTCGCGAGGAATGCGAAGACCAGATTAAGGTGAAAGAAAATGAAATCGTCGCAGGCCAACAAAAGATTGCCGAGTTGAATCATCAGCTTCAGCAGCAAAAGTCTCAAACTGATATGCTCAAGGGTGAAATCGCAGGCTTAGAAAGAGACATCGGGAATCTGTCTGGCGACCTGAACCGCGCTGTCAGCGCCCAAGCGGACAGATTTTGCGCATTCGGCCGAAATGCCAAAATTGTCATGGAGCAGATTGCTGCTAGTCGATGGAATGAGAAGCCATTGGGACCCATCGGCCTATATGTTCAATGCGAAGATAAAGCTTGGTCTCAGCTCCTGGAGACAGTTTTGAATCGCACTTTGGGATCATTCGTGGTCACCAATCGAGACGACGAGAATCAACTACGACACATCTTGAAATCACATCAATGGTATGCACTCGAATGATAACCTTTGGTGTGAATTTTTGATCGTTGAGAACTTACTTATTTTTATGATTCAACAGGCGGAACCCGATCATCCGATCCAGACCAGATTTGTTCGATTTCTCTGCCGGCGAGCCTGACGGGCAGTACCGCACTATATTACGCATGCTACAATTCGAAGACGAATTTGTGAAGCGAGTTTTGATCAATGAGGATAAAATCGAGCGAACTATTCTAGTCAATCACCGACGAGAAGGGGACCCTATCATGTCCAGGCATCCCAGGGATCGGAAGGGTATCGAGCGTTGTTTTACTATCGATGGATACCGAGTGGGTGGAATCACGGGAGGTAAACAAGTTTCAGCTTTGTCGCTTTATCAGGGCACACCCCGCCTAAGAAGTGGTGACGTTCGCGAACACATAAAGTGAGTACGCTTCAATATTGACGTATATGTCTCGAGGATTGATCTTTGTGTGTGATTTTCATCGATCCAATCGAAAGTCAAAAGAATGAAGAGATCCAAGGAAAGACTGCACATAAACAACAAGCTGAGATAGCGCTCAGACAGGCTTTGAAAGAGTGTAGTCAGACGTCTAACCTCATCGCCGACTTGAATGTGAGTAATCGCAACGTCAGGATCCACCTCACAAGGACAATCTTACACGATCATGCACTCGGCTTGATGAGGTCGGAAATAGCTAATCATACAACTGGTGCTTTTGTTGAATAGCGCCAGCAAGGATCTACAAAAACCATGATCTCGAAGCTGAAAGGCCGGAAAGCTCAGTTAGATGACGAGCTTGCGGAGACTTTCTCTTCTAATCTTGCTGCGTTGGAAGCGGTGAAGACTGTGAGTGGTGCCTGATGCCAAAGCTTTCTGTGTCTTCGATTTTTGAGCTATCGCATCTCGTGTAGGATTTGCAAAACGAAATCGATTCCTCGGTAGCACAATTCGGGGAATTAACTCGCAAGAAAAAAGAACTTCAAGATAACATGAGACCCATCTTGGAGGAAAAAGAGAAAATCGATCAATACTTTGCTTCTAAGAAGAGTGAACAAGATTTGATCAATGTTGGTACCGCTTCACTCACATTTGTGACAGATAATTTACTCATACTCTTATCTATTTCATAGAGTCAAATTTTACTTGCCACGGAGAAGGCGATGACTTGCCGAGCGAGTGTGACACACTACAAATCGTCATTAGCCAAACATCAGCGCAAGCTAGAACATATTAATGACAAGCATCAAGAGGCCGTAGAAAGGACCAGGGTGAATACACCATGCTTTTCAGTGTATTCTCTCCTAGTGCTTCCTGACATCTTTGACTTTAATCCAGGGGATCACAGAGCAAGCAATTGAGCTTTGTGGTTCGGCAGAAGTTGTTCCAACTAGAAAAAGTATCAACAAATTGATTAGCGAGATAGAGAAAATCTCGAACACGGTGAAATCTACCGAGACAAGGTGAGTGTTTGTGATGAATTGCCAAGGGAGTGATGTATCACTAAGCTTGAAACTGATCTTACAATATAACCATTCATTAGGTATGGTGGCAAGAGTCTTGAAAACATTCAAGCCGAATGTCAAGAAGCTACCATAGCATGGAAGAAAGCAGACACAGAGCTTAGTGAATTAAGAGCTACAATTCTTGTACGTGTCTTGACTAACGAAGAATTTTCTTCGATGTTTTAAAAACCTCAAAGAGTTGACCAAATCCCCCAAATTCCTTAGCTTCTTAAACATGCACTTCAACTACGTAAGAATAAATGGTTACAATTCCGTTGCCATATTTCGGTTCGTGCTAGGATGAAATTTATCAACCATTTGAATAATCGAGGGTATACTGGGAAATTGAATTTTGATCATAACCATCAAAGATTAGAAGTTCACGTGAGTTTAAGTCTTCTGGAACACCTTGTGATTCAAAGCAAGTATCATTGAACCGATCTGGGTTCCTTTTCTCCAAATAACTCACAAACAGGTGGATACTCACTCTGACGAGCTCAGACAGGTAAGGCATACTAGATTAACCTTTTATATGTTGGTTTCAAGTTGTAACTAAATAATCTTGGGTTCGTAATTTTGCTAGGCCAAATTAAGAGATCCAAGAGGATTATCAGGTGGAGAGAGATCCTTTTCAACGATTTCATTGCTATTAACACTTTGGGATGCAGTCAATTGTCCCATCCGTTGTTTGGACGAATTTGATGTCTTTATGGATATGCAACATCGTAAAGTGGCAGTTGACATGATGGTAAGTAGTCTAACCTCAAAGCATTCCAAGGCTTTGGATGTCTTTTGATGATTCGGTTTTTGACTTTCAATGGTCTTTTTTCTCCTTGTAGATTAATTCTGCTAAAGAAGCTCATGAAGTTCAATATATATTCATTACACCACAAGATTTAAGATCTACTGCGTGAGTATCTTATCTTCTTTCGAATTCACTCAACTAGAACGACATATTCCATTCTGATCGTTCTTTTATTTTCCTTTTTGATAGATTCGGACCTGAGACTAAGATTGTAAGAATGTTAGATCCTATAAGAAGAGATGAAACTGCTTGATCGAAAAACACGTGAAGCAGACCAGCAGTTTCATTTTAAAAAAGTTTATTTAACCTAGATACATACATGTTATATGAGTTTTTTGTCTGTTCACTTCACGAATTAGTTTTTTGTACGTTTTTGTTGAATCTGTGTGTCTTATTAATTATATGCGCATATGTTACTAGGTTGATAAACTGTTATTCATTCAAAGAAAGAGAAAGAAAGTCTTGTTGAACTCGTCAGCCCGTCATGTGATCATCTGTTTTCTGTTGCTCATTGGTGAATTTGGTGGTTTAGCTGAGCTCTGAAGTCTTGGTTTGATCAGATGGGGTTTTCGGGTTTTGAGGACGTTTACATCAAAGCTCATTTGTGTATCATTCATCCGATCATAACTAAAGCCCATCGCCACACCCGAGATCCCCTGACAGTCCTCAAAAATGTCACTCTGACGTTCCCTTGCTGAACGTCAGATGGAGGATGACACGAGTGGACGTGGGCCACCCCCGAAAGTGCCTTGATCACTGTGGTTGCGGCTCTGCTGGGAAAAAGAAAATCTTAAAATTTCAGAAAACCGCCAACTTAACAAGCAAGAGAGACACTTTGCTAAGTTAAACACACGATCACTACAGATCTTTACCACCTCGCTTCATCTCACCATTTGCTCGGTTCAGCTTCTCTTCTGCTCGAATGCCATGACGTCACACCGATCTCACTCTGATGCTTGACTGTCCTCTACTTGGCAGAGGCTCCATTTGGCAATCTCTCCTTGATATCTTACTCGTAACTCAACCGCGCCCTTCTTCCATTAGCACAAAGTCAACCAAAGTGATCGTTTGCTCATCAGAATCTCCTCTTGCATTTGAAACAGTTCTGCGGTTACGCTTCCCTCGGGAGTGTTAAGACTGGATCCAACCGACCAACTAACGAATTATACGAATTACACGAATTGATTCAGCATTCTGTTCGGATCGGCCAAAATTAGGTTAGACGAATTGAGAATTTACGAACAAGGGGGCACAAAGGAGTAAGCTTCAGTGTAAGAATTTGAGGAACTCAATTCGGCTGAAGAAAGGGATCAAAGGGGTTCAGATCAAGGGTTTAGGTCAATTGACATCTGTAAAAGTTCCTAATCCGCTCTGTCGTAAGTTCTCCATTCGGCGTGAACGTTTCTGTTAAGCACGGTGCACAGTGCATAGGCACATTCTCGTGGTAGACCTCTCTACGCCTCGTTCGCCCTTCTCGTCCTGCATATACTCGCCCCAGGTCGCCCCGCGGTATAATCACAATCACAAGCTTAGTCACAACCATACTTACAAGTCAAACAAGTTCACATCTGCTGACCGCCAGAGCGAAATTGAAGACTCATAAATCGAATCACCCCACATCCCTTATTCATACCTTTTTCTGGATATCAAAGCCTGAGATGGGTAAAAAACATCACGCGCCGGACGACGACGAATCCCCCACGTCACGCGTCAGTTTCCTCCTCCATTTGTTCGTGTTTGGACTCGGTCTGAAGCTTGCGACTGTTAACTTTTACAGAAACGAGCACGAGTAGACAAACCGCGCGAGGATGCATTCGACGGAGGTATCCTTGACGGAGAATCAGAGTTCGAATACGAGTGCGATAAGGCAGAAGAGGAGGCGCTTCGTCAAGGTGCCAAAGAGATGGCCATGCGCGCTCCGAGGACTGGTGCCATTAGAAAAGCAGGTGCTATCGAACAGCTCGAAGTTTTCAATTTCATGTGTCACGACTATCTATCCATGGATTTCAGTCCACAGGCCAACTTCATCATTGGTAATAATGGTAGCGGCAAGAGTGCGATCTTGACTGGGATTATGCTTGCGCTAGGTGGAAAAGCCTCGACCACGGTGCGTATCATTTTTTTGCAGCTTGAATATTCGAGACATTCATTTTTCTTATGCCTTTGTTTAGAGTCGTGCTACGTCCTTGAAGGGTTTCATTCAACACCATAAAAGTCGCGCAGAAATAAAACTTCAAATGAGTAACTGTGGTGAGGAAGCTTACCGCCCCGATGTCTACGGCGAGGCAATCATCATCGAGAGGGCGATCACAAAAGACGGTGGCGGTGGATACAAAATCAAGAGCGGACGCGACAACAAAGTGATTAGTACCCATCGGTCTGAGCTGCAAGATATCTTGGACCATTTCATGATCCAGGCCGATAACCCCCTCAACGTGCTGAGCCAAAATGCGGCCAAAGACTTTCTGACTAAGAGTACCAGTAAAGACAAATATGGAGTGTGTATAGATCTTCTTCGCAGCTTCACGGATTTTAATTGACTTTTGTATCTTTCAGCTGTTTATGCGTGGTACCCAACTTCAACAACTTACTGAAGAGTATGGAGAGATCGAGAACAATATCACCACCGCCAAAGTGATTTTGACCAATAAGAAGCAGGCGATGAGCTTGATACACGACAAAGCCAAACGTGCGAGAGCCATTATGAAGGATGTGGAGCAAGCCTTTCAAGATGGATCTAAAAAGCGTTGCCTTCAAAAAGAGTTGGCATGGGCTTATGTTTCCGAAGCAGAAGCGGTATGTCCGCGCCGAAGTCATCAAGGTACCGAATTTACGCCATGAACTGATGACGATGTGAAAATCAGCAACAAGCACAGTTGGCAGAGGCTGTTCAAGAGGAAGAGATTATCATTCCACAGTGCGAGGTTGAAGTGAACAACGCTGAGGTGGGTTTGTTTTTGCAAAAATGTACAAGCTCGAGACGCTGAACACCTTGACGCGTTCTCAGATAGCACTGGCAGAGGCGAAACAAGAGATAACCACTTTGAACAGCAAAATGTCAGTCGCCAACGATGATCAGCTGCAGCAGAAATGTACAGAACTCAAGACTGACCTCAAGAAGCGACATGGCGAACTCAAGAAGCTCAATGTTGAGTTGGTTCATACTTTCAAGTCTTGATGCTCTGGAGAGCTAATAATTCCCAAACATCATCAGAACGACTTGCGGGATTCTGATACAGCCATCAAGAAATTTAGAAAAGACCTGGAGACCCAGCAAGTTCAGATAGATGCAGAGAACGCGAAAGCATCCCGCACAACTGCCACAACACGCCAAGACGCCATCAATCGCCGTGACGAATGCGAAAACGAGATCAAGGTGAAAGAAAGTGAAATAGACGCGGGCCAAAGAAGAATAGCCGAGTTGAATGATGACCTTCAGCAGTCCAAGGCCGACAGTGATAAGTTCAAGGGTGAAGTTGAAGGATTGAAAAGCGACCTCGACAGACTTTCTAATGATCTGAACCGCGCTGTCAGCGCGCAAGCGGACAGATTTTGCGCATTTGGCCGAAATGCCAAAAATGTCATGGAGCAGATTGCTGCTAGTCGATGGAATGAGAAGCCATTGGGACCCATCGGCCTATATGTTCAATGCGAAGATAAAGCTTGGTCTCAGCTCCTGGAGACAGTTTTGAATCGCACTTTGGGATCATTCGTGGTCACCAATCGAGACGACGAGAATCAACTACGACACATTTTGAAATCACATCAATGGTATGCCCTTGGAGTCGAGTGATGTCCTTTATGAATTTTTGATCATTGAGAACTTCTTTATTTGGATAATTCAACAGGCGGAACCCGATCATCCGATCCAAGCCTGATTTGTTCGATTTTTCTGCCGGCGAGCCTGACGAGCAGTACCGCACTATATTACGCATGCTACAATTTAAAAACGAATTTGTGAAGCGAGTTCTGATCAATGAAGACAAAATCGAGCGAACTATTCTAGTCAATCACCGACGAGAAGGAGACCCTATCATGTCCAGGCATCCCAGGGATCGGAAGGGTATCGAGCGTTGTTTTACTATCGATGGATACCGAGTGGGTGGAATCACGGGAGGTAAACAAGTTTCAGCTTTGTCGCTTTATCAGGGCACACCCCGCCTAAGAAGTGGTGACGTTCGCGAACACATAAAGTGAGTGCGCTTCAACATTGATGTATATATCTCAAGGATTGATTTTTGTGTGCGATTTCCGTCGATCCAATCGAAAGTCAAAAGCATGAAGAAATCCAAGAAAGGACTGCACAGAAACAACAAGCTGAGATAGCGCTCCGACAAGCTTTGAAAGATTGTAGCCAGACGTCTAACCTAATCGCCGACTTAAATGTGAGTAATCGCAACGTCGTGATCTACACAATCTTGCACGATCATGCACTCGTCTTTTCCAATTAACTGATCATACCGCTCTTGTTTATGTTTCATAGCACCAGCGAGTATCCACAATGACCGAGATTTCGAAGCTGAAAGCTCGGAAAGCGCAGTTGGACGACGAGCTTACTGAGACTTTTTCCTCTAATCTTGCTGTGTTGGAATCGATGAAAAATGTGAGTGATGCCTGATGGCGAAAGGTTTTCATGGATTCGATTTTTTGATCCATCGCATCGAGTATCTAGGATCTGCAAAAGGCCATCGATACTTCAGTGGCACAATTTGGCCAATTGACTCGGAAGAATAAGGAACTTCGAGATGACATGCGACCCATCTTGGAGGAAAAAGAAAAGATCGATGCATACTTTGCTTCCCAGAAGGATGCAGAGGCTGCGATTCATGTTGGTAGCGTCTTATACGTATATTTACATATCATCCTACTCATACTTTTGATGGTTTCATAGGCCCAAATTTTGGCGGCCACAGAGACGGAGATGACCTGCAAAGCGAAAGTCACACACTACAAATCTTCATTACTCAAACATCAACAAAAGCTAGAACAGATTAACGCACAGTATCAAGAGGCCATCCAAAACACCAGGGTGAGGACACATTGCTTTTCAGTAGACCCTTATTTAATCTTTCCTGACATCTTTGAATTTTATTCAGACTATCACAGAACAAGCAATAGAGCTGTGTGGTTCACCGGAAGTTGTTCCAAGTAGCAAAACCGTCAAGAAATTGATTAGTGAAATAGAGAAAATCTCAAGTACTGTGAAATCTACCGAGACAAGGTGAGTGTTTCTAATGAATCGGAAGAAATTGATGTATCACTGAGCTGGTTATGATATAAACTTTGATTAGGTATGGAGGAAAAAGTCTTGAAACCATACAAGCTGATTGTCAAGAAGCTACAATAGCATGGAAGAAAGCAGACACGGCACATACTGAATTAAGGGGTATAATCATTGTAAGTATGTTCTTAACTAATCGTCAATTTTCTTGCAACAGTTTTGAAAAGTTGAACCCACTTTCCTCAAAATGTGTCGCTCAGCTTCTTAAACATGCATTAAAATTACGTAAGAACAAATGGCTTCAATTTCGTTGTCATATTTCGGTTCGTGCAAGAATGAAGTTTATCAATCATTTAAATAATCGAGGGTATACTGGTAAATTGAATTTTGATCACCATCATCAAAAATTAGAAGTTCATGTGAGTTTAAGTTTTTCTTGTGAGATTGTTTTACATTCTAAGATCATGATCATTCATTTCCTTGAGGCGTTTCTTTTTCTTTAATCAATAGGTGGATACTCAGTCAGAACAGCTTAATCAGGTAAGTTGATCAACCTTTTGTAACTTGAATTTGAAGTAGAAATATAACTAATTACTTCTTGGAGTTTTCTTACTCCTTAGGCTAAGTTAAGAGATCCAGGTGGATTATCAGGTGGTGAAAGATCCTTTTCAACGATTTCATTACTGTTGACACTTTGGGATGCAGTCAATTGTCCAATTCGTTGTTTAGATGAATTTGATGTCTTTATGGATCCACAACATCGTAGAGTGGCAGTTGATATGATGGTAAGATCTTCTAAAAACTAATTCTTTTGATTGTAGAAATTGTGAAAAAAAACCGACTTTGCTCTTTCTTTTTTCTTTAATTGATTATTTTTATTAACTTTTGATGGGTTTGTTTTCTTTTTTTTTCAGGTTCAATCTGCTAAAGAAGCTCATGAAGTCCAATATATGTTTGTCACACCACAAGAACTACCATATACTATGTGAGTCATTGAAGTCTTTTTTCATAAAAATTTACTTGACTAGAAAACTTCAAGTTTTGCTTTGTTTTCTAATCAATTTTTTCTTTTTTTTACATTTTTCTTATTGATGTGAATCATAGGTTTGGACCTGAGACTAAGATTGTAAGAATGGCAGATCCTAAGAAACATAAAAGTTGATTGATAAAAAAAGAGTGAAAAAAAAATGGAAACAAATTGGTTTGGGGATTAAACTGAAAGATTGATTTGACTGAATCAAGCCACCTTATGTGTTGCTTTTTGATATATTCTTGAAGTAGAAAGTTATTTTGTTTTATTATATGTTTTTTTGCTTGATTATCTTATGTTTATTGAGAGTTTTTCTCGTGATATCATTTCTGTTAAATTAAGTTTTGTTAAACGTGATCATTTGTGACTTATTGGTTGTGAATTGTAGTTTTGATTGAAAAGATGTGGGTTTTGTTTTGAAGTTTTATACCCATCGTGAAACTTGATATGAGATTGTGCACAAGATGCTTTGTTGTTTCGAATTATTTTATGTTTGATCACATAGTTGTGACTTATTGATAGATTCGTGTTTGTTTGAATGGATCGTATAATGATTTGACCATTACCTTTTTGATACTTTTGTTTCGGAAGAAATTCTGGCATGATGACCAAATGAACTTGTTTTCTTGACTAGTATCTTGAAGTTTGTGATCGATTCGACGCAATAGCACATCAACTTGAAAAATCAATCGTCAATTTCTCACAGAACACGTTAACATGATTATCATCGATCCCTTGGTGATCATGATTTAGATCTCAATGAATCATAGCTACGAGAAAGTTTGAGTTGAGGAGGAAGTAACTTGGTTACCAATATGTCGAAATACACACCTTACGGTAAGTGTACATATTTTGGTGATTTTAATTTTTGTAGTGTATGATCATACGCTCAGTGATTGCTCTCAGATCATGAACTAATTTCTAAACTAAACCTGAAAGAAATCTTCAAGTTGAAAGAAATTGGTTCAGATAATTATCCAAATATTAACAACAACAACAGTTTTCAAGAACTCAGTGCTCACCGATCTTCTATATAGTGCTAAAGAGTCAAAGTCAGTTGAGGTTCAAAATCTTGATTGATTTTATTTATCAAACTGATTTTCAATTGCTTTTGATTTGATTTGATTCGATTCGATTTCTTCCAAACTGATTCTAATTCAAAACCAAACCAAATCAAACTGAACAGAGTAATACTGGTTAATTATTTCAACTGTACTTTACTTGAATCATTATCATCATCATCACCCATCCTCAACGGTTTAACGTATTTGATCAACTTTTGGTAATTCTTCTAGCAGCATAGTAAGCATTTCTATTTGATCCTATCTCGCTAATCCATCATCAAACTGATCTTTGCTTCTCTCTCCTTAGTCATTAGTTCGATCAATTCTCAAATCAGCCAATCCAACTCAGTGTAAACTTCAAATCTCCTTTCAGCTGACTCATCTTGGATTGAAGTTTATAGATCTTTTTTTATTTTTCAGTTTCAGTTTGATTGATTGATTGATCCGATGACGACTTCTGGTCTTTCAGCTACCAGTCCACCTCAATCTCTTCGTCTTAGAAATCCAGCTAGTACTCTTGAAGATCCTAATGATGATTCACCTGACTCTGATGAAGAGAATCGACCGACGACTGCTCGTTTGATTTCAGTCGATGATAATCCTTTCAATCAACGTTCACTTCCTTCTCATGTTCCTTGGTCTCAGTTAGTCAACGATGATGAAGATGAAGAAGAAGATCTATGGGGTGCTGATACTGGTCGTGAAGCTGTGGGTGCCGATGAGAGACCAATGGCTAGGGTCCCAAGTATCTCGGTCATGGCGAGTGCCTCAGCCTCTTTTTTCGATCGAGCCTCTTCAAGTCCTCCGCATTCCGCTCCATCCGTCCCTCCTGGCTTGATTCATACTGCTGCTATGAATTCTATAAGTCCAACAGAAGAATGGAGAGCTAAAATCTTAGAAAGTGTCAGAAAGGGGGAAGAAAAAGTGGCACAGCGTAGGAAAGCAAGTATGGCTAGTCTTGATGCCTCTTTCAATCCCACTTCACCTTCAAATGTCTCGAGTGGACCTATCAACAAGCGAATCTTGTCAACAGTGACAGACATCCCTTACATAGACTCAGAACATGAAATCGAAAACCTAGTCGAACCACATACCGATCATCAATCACCTACTTCAGAAGTCCTTGAAACGTCAGCTCAATCCTCGATCAAATCAAAAGGCAAACAACCGGTTCACCAATTGAAAGAGACTACTTCTAGTAGCTCTGTTGGATCACTCCTCCAATCGAACAAATCACCTTCACTTCCAGCCGCATCCACTCAATCTGCCTCAACACCTTCTCTTCCGCCCGTACAAGGCTCCTCCGCAAGTGCTTATGCTTCCAATAACCCATATCTTGGCTTGTTGGATTTCGAATCTTCTCAATTTGCTCGTGATGTGGCTATCGGACTCGCTCAAAGTGCTCATGGTTCGGCCGCTGCCTCTCTTCTTGATCAACCATTCACAACTGCGATCAACTCACCTATCACGAATCCCTCAATATCTTCACCGCGTATTCCTGACCTGAACAGAGATGTAATGGATACACCTTCTCAAAACACCAGTCTCGGCGAAGTTTCTTCCCCCAATCGATTTGACCCTCCTAATCTTGTCAGAAGCAACAGCACAGCAAGTCCCAAAAGACGTTCACACACTTCTACTGATACAAATCCTCCAAGATTACGGCCTAACACATGGCTGGTGCCCGATGATACATCTGATGAACTTCCACCTCCTCTTGCGGAAGCAACCTTTTTAAGTGTCACAGATCCTCGCGGAATCTCATCAAGGATCAATCAAATGTCTACAGTCGACCCCCTAGGATCTGATACTCCTTTGCCCAATCGTCTTCTTGATACTCCCATCCCTCCTCAGCCTAGCATGCCAGCAAGATCGCCTAGTCGGACTAAGACTGTACGTTCAGGATCATGTAGTTTTATGTATCATCTTTTCTCTTATCTGAATATTTCGAAACTGAGTATCGTGCTTTTGAACAGGGTAAAAGAAACTTTTTCTCCACTCTGTTGCATCGTGCATCGGGTAACGGGTCATCAGCCAATAGCTCACCTGGACCCTCGTTGTCACCCAATCATCTTCGAACTAACCAACCAACTGGCGCATTCAGTCAACCAACAACTCCTCAGCTCAATCCATCCCCTCGTATCAATCCTGATGGTTCGACTAACTCGCATAGTCGTAGATTAAGCCGATCATATAGTGACAGCGCTACAGGTATGTGTTTTGGTACTTGTAGATTATTACAACTGCAATAAACTAACTGTATCACATTTTGTCCCACAGCGAGACCGCAAAATCTGACAAACTCTACTTCCTCCCTGGCAACTCCTCATAATTTGAAGTCGATCGGGCTTAAGCTGACGCCTTTAACACCTTTTCTACCTATCACTAGAAACGCACATCCATTGTGCGGTGCGATATTGGATAACAAATACCTCCTTATTGGCACCAATCATGGTTTAGATTTTGTTCCCTTACCTCATCTGGTTCAGTCTCGATGTGGAGATGGTATGAACGGATACGGAACAGTCAAACCGATGACTTTGATCAAGAAGACTCGATTCAAGAGTCTAAAAGTTTTGGAAGTCAGGAGTAATATCTTGTTGGCTATCGCTGGTCGAAATGACCACTTGAGGGGTAAGTTCATCATTCATACCGGTTTGTGATTTCTGCCAGCTCAAGTATTGTAAACGTTTTCTTGCATCTAGTATATGCGTTAGATGGCATTCGTGCGATCATAGCTAAGAAAATGCAAGATCTGGAAGATAAAGATGATTATGTTTGGTTAGCCAAACCAAATAGATCCGATTCGCAATCTGTTGCCTCGAAAGGCAAAGGGAAAGCGAATAACATTCGAACAAATGACTTGCCTCATCACCCTTCTATCATCTCTCCTCCACCTCCTTACGGTAATGGGGCAAGTCACGAGTCTCATATGGCGAAATCGCATTCTTTACAGCCTGGCGACTATCTTCCTGTTGATCGAGTCAGCCCAACAACGTCTCCTGTCTCCTTACGAAGGAGTAGTACCGTCGGCGCTCGATTACCAGATGTCAATCACCAGCGAAACACCACCAAGCATGGCATGCACTCACCTGATTCTAAACGTATCACTTCTGGCCTACCCTCATTCCTCTCATCCGTCAACCGCTCACAGAAAAACAAACTGTTGATACCACCATCATTAGTCTATCAGGAAGGAAGTGTCGAGTCACCAGCCCTGCAGCCTATCAGAGCCGAAGTTGGACTGGGGCTTGAACGCGAAACCGATCTTGTGGATAGTCCCTCCCAGCTACAACCTGCTGTCTCTCTATCGCAGCTCAACTCGCAGGATGATGGGGTCTCCACTCGGCACGAAGGTTATCAATCGACATCGTCTCACTCTACCAACACTGACCGCGTCGAGCGACTGCCCACCGGAGACCTGACCAATCCTTGTCCTTTGCCACTACTCGATGACAAGAGGATGCCAGACGAAGTAGCCATTCAGTCTGACCAATCGCAGGGAGATGCACAACCTGAAACTGATCTAGTTGAAATGATCAGGCAGCGTAAACAGAACCAGATCCCTACCATAGCCGAAGGGACCGTCTCCCATGGTATCATCTCACCACAATCAAATCTTTCCGCCCCTGCCCAATCTGGTCGTTTGGTGGCGCGATCGCCATTGATAGGCGATACTGATGAGGAATCCATCGAAGGTGTGGCCAATGAATACCTACCCATTTCTGCAACAAACAAACGGCTCTCGCTTCTCGACATACTCTCGCAATCTACTACACCGTCAAGTGGAGGTGCCCTTGGGGCCAAGCCCTCGACTTCGAAGCAGCCACCGGTAGCGAACAAACGCTGGACTTCAATCGAGAATCACATCGCCAAACCACAAACGAGAGCAGATTCGTCAAGTGGATTGGCCGAATCCAGCTTACCCGAAAATTCAGTACCGTCCAATCCGTCTAGACATGTCAGTAGTCCTGTTCGGACAAGCGAGACGCTGAGCGTACCAACCTCATCACTCGGTGGACGACTGAGTCCGACACCTGCTACAGCATCTTCACCCATCCCAGCTTCAAGGTCGCGTGTGCCCACGCCCGTATCTCCTCCCGAACCTGTCATCGCGCCCGCCGTCACGCCCAAGTCGAAGAAGCGATGGTCCGTTATGGATTCCGTTTTTCGAAGCCATAGCAGCAATTCAAGGGACTCGAGCAGCTCCGCGACCAAACTGCCCACCCTCCTTCCATCGATCTCAAATGAAGTCGACACAATGGCAGCGTCGAATGATCAAACGCTGCTCAACAATCCAAACTCGCAGCATCAATCGCTATTATATCAGGTACCACCCGCCGATCATCTGGATAGCATCCAACTAGCGGATGCTACGCCTCCACCCGTTTCTCAGGACAACAATCAGATGCTCCGACCGCGAGAATCTATGCAGAAAATTCGACCTAACTCATCTCAATACAATCCAAATGGTATTCCTGTTAGAGCTTCTAACGGAAATGATTCGTCTGAAGGAGTTCTTAACGCCTTGAGTAGCTTGGGGGTTAACTCGAATCAGATCGTGGGCACATCTGATGATCAACCACGTGAACGTCTTGCTACTCATCATCATGGTCATAATCCGAATGATCCAAAGACGAGTCCACATCCAGCCACTTTAGGTGCTCCATTAGAATACGTTAAGCTTGCTCGAACCAAAGGTGCTAAGCTTTTAAGGGCCTTTGAAACCAAACGTCGAACGTAAGTACAAGATCTTGATACTTTTGATTTTGGAAGGTCTCACTAAATATTACCCCCCACACTTGATTGACGGTTTGTTTTTCCAGCTATTTAGCAGTTTTGTGTGGGGAATCCAGTGAAAGGATCGAACTCTTCACTGTAAGAATCTTTTGATTTTCTATTTCTCTCGTATTTGACAAAATGAACTGGTCTGATTGGTTTGTACGTCTTTAGGGATCTAAAAACATTTCGCTGTCACTCAATCGAACTTTTGTGCTGCCGGAAACACCTAGAACGTAAGTATGAACCGAATTTTCGCTGTTTTCTATCACAAATCAAGTTGACATTTCTTTTATTTCTTTTAGTATTGAGTTTCAAATGCAAGGAGACGACCTGGTAGACATTGTAGGTCGACTTGTTCTGATATAATCTTGGCACAGATACTTACATCAATTTGGTTTTTTCACGTATCAGTATTTGGTTTACGACGAGAGTGTGTTTGCTCTGGAGCCAGCCACAGTCAGAGTGAGGGAAGTCGGAATTGGTCGGAACGAACGTCGAGCTGCTAGACGAGAACGAGAACGTGCCGCTAGAGATCTGGCTTCGACTAATTTAAGACAGCCGGTCACTGCCAATACCGGTGTCCTAGATGATGCCAATCTCGCCATTCCTACAAACTTGGCGCAGCCTGAAAGATCAGATAGCTTGGGACTTCAAGCTACATCGCCGAACGTCCCACCAGCGGTACCTGTCGATGAAGGTTTAACACTATCGGTACCACCTAATCCATCATCTCGTAATGCAAACAGTCCAAACGTTGGTCCGACTCTGGTAGGAGTAGTTTCCGCTACTAATAATGGGGCAAGCGGTTGGGGTACAAATGATAACAACGCTACCGGAGCAACAAAACCAGTCAATCTATGGCCATATACTACCTTTCAACAATTGCAATCTATTCCGCCTTTACCTGCCTCTGTACTAGCATCGACCTTTGTAATCCCACCAACTTATGAAGCCGTCGTGATGGCAAGTGGAGGACCGAATCGACAAACCCTTACTCCTAGTCACTCTTCAGGTAGTGTGGGAGATTGGACGAATAATTCAGTAGTAGATGGTATTAGAACTGAATCACCACCAAGCGTTCATTTAGATCAATTGGCAGTCATTGGAAGTTCTCAAATGAATGATGCAGATTCCGATCTTGGACATACCAGTGTTTATCAAAACTCTGCACTTGCGAACGCTATTACGAATACGATTACCAATCAATCCGAATTAACACCAAGTGAAGTGGCAGATGCAGGTGAAGGATTAAGTGCGATTCCACTTGATTCCAACACATTAACATCATCACCAGGATTAGTAGTGAATGATGGACCACTCTTATCACCGATTAGTTTATTAGCTAATCCTCATTCTAGACAAATCGGACCACCAGGATTATTTCTAGTTTCAAGAGGTAAAAAAACTACATCGATTGTAGACTGTGATGGTAGAAGTGTGATGAAGAAACCGTTTGTTTGGAGTAATGATAAACATTCAAAACCATCTGGAAACTTACCTGAGAATCCATTAGGGTTCAAAATTGATATGATCATCGTTCAAGAAAAACGTACGATGATGGTTGGAATCGATTCTAGCGAAGTCAAAGTGTTTGAGATCGGAGGTCAGCCTGCAATTGGATTAGAAGAATATTCTAATTCGATTACACTTGATATCATTCCTCAATTCTATGGTTTACCTTCTTCTTCATATAATATGTATTCTAATTCGACTATCTTTGGTGGTAGTCTAATTTCATCTAATCCTAATAATAGTAATAGTAATGGAAATGGAGGGATTGCTGTTGGTGGTGGCAATGGAGTTGGAGTGATCACTTCACGAAATGGTGGATCTAATTTTATTTATCCCAATAATAAATCACAACAACAACAACAACAATTAAATCAATCACAGATCATCAATCAACAACAGCAATCTTCTTCAGTTTTGAATAATGGAAATGGAATGTTTGGGTATCATTTGAATCATTCGAATTTGATTGGAATCCCGACTAGAGAGATTATTTATTTAGGGTTTAATGATCTAATGAAACAAGTGATTTGGTCTGAACGTAGAGGGAATATGTTTGGAATTTATTGTCTTGAACCGATTTGATGATTAAGATGAGAGAAATCTATAGATTTCTATTTTGTTTTTCGAACAAGAATAAAAACAAACCTGTTTCTTTATATGTTTTTGTTTTTTTTTTGTTTTTTTTTTCTTTTTTGAATTTATTTTAAATGTTGTTTTTGGTGATCTGTCTGTGTGGGTTTTTTTTGGTTTTTGTTAATAGATTATTTTGAGATGGTATGTGTGAAAAAGTGAAACTGCATTGTATCAATGAACCAAATAACTTTCTTTTTCTCTCTCTTTCTACTCTCTTTTTTCTTTGCTTTCTTTTGATCTCTATATATGATATAACTAAGAAATTCATAATGGTTCTTTTTGTTTTCTTTTGTTTTAGATAAACTAATTTTGTGATTGATTTTTTTTTTTGGTTTGATTTGGTTTTTAAATTGTTTGAAGGTTTTAAATATATATAAACCTTTGAAGAAGAAGAAAAAAATCTTTTTTTGATTAAACTGGTTTTTGAATGTTATGGTTTTAAGATTTTTTGTTTTTATATTTCTTTGTTTCTTTCTTTGTTAAGTTATAGCATTCATTCATTTGTTCATTTTTTTAATTTCTGCTTTTTTTTGCTTTTGATTTTGATTTTGCTTTTGCTTTGATTACAAATAAATTTTCTTATTTTTTTTCTTATCAAAAAAAATCAAGTTGATTTTCTTTTTTGTCAGGGACATTTTTTGGGGTGGCAGGGGGATGTTGTGGTTTTTTGTGTGGGGTTTTGAAAGTTTTTCTTTTCTGAAAAAAAAAAAAACTTTGATGATTTTTCCATAGATATATTGATCAAATAATTAAATTAGGGTTAGAAAGTTAGCTTCAAGATTAGCTGCAATGGTGATGATCTGAGAGTTTATTTGGTTTAAGTACATGAAGAGATTGAATGGATTTGATGCATTTGGTATGTGACAAACTGTGTTGAGTTGAAAGCATTTCTGCACACTCACTTGTACAATGTGACAAAACTACTTCACACCACAATCATTAACAAAGACTTTCATTTTCCTCACACTCATCTCCCTGATAAATCATTCTAGTCAGTGCATGAGTCTACAGCCACAAGTCCTTGCACAATGCCTGAACTTGCCTGACAGTAGGTTTTACTGTATATATTGGAATGAAAGTGCCTACATGTTGTAAATAAAGAGAGCTAGTTGAGAAATTTGTGTCATGGACCATGGTGATAGAAAGTTTTCATTTTTTATGTCCAGTCACCAGTTCCACAGTTGATTACAGACAATATGCAGTGCAGCACATGGGCTGGTGAACAGGTCAGTCCTGAAGGCCAAAAATTTACCCATGCAGAAATGTTTTGCCACAGTTTTTTTTGCCACATCAAACATTTTCACCACATTACATCTGTTTTCTCCGAGGTATACTGGTCTTTCACTTATTTTAATAAAAGCAAAAATGCGCTTTTCCATCAATTTTCTTTGACTCCCGCCCACTCCTTCACCCACCACGCAGAGAACCATCCTAGGCTCTAGCCACAGCGGCCCACCCCCACACATACTAATACTATGGACTCTACAAGTCCTATAGGATAACAACTTTGCTGTATAGGATAATAAATGTTGTTTAATAATACTATAGTTACCGTAGAAACAGAAATACACGATGATGATAACACACAAGGCAATGAAAGATTGTAATCTCCTAGTGAAATAATGATGGAATCTCCGGTTACTCTCCCAACACCGACGCTCCCATGGCTACAAGAACCTCATCTTTGGATCAACAAAAGGTCACTCGATGTCTTCTCTCCAAGCAGGCAAGTTGGCCACTGATCAAGACCCACAACTACACTTGTAGATTTTTGCCGAGGATCAACGATATTGAGTAAAATATCGCAGCCCAATCAAGAAAAAAAGTCATCAACAGCAAGCCTAACCGTAACGGACCGATTCTACACATCTCTACTCAAAATGACAATGCAACCTCTCCTTCCCATGCCAATAAGCAAACCTAACGTAAATTCAAAATCATCCTCAGATGTCCGGACAATCATGCAGACAATATGGGTAGGATTTTTTTTTCTGAAAGTAAGATTTTTGACTTATGGTTTGATCTTGACGTGTAATCCTCTTTTTATAGAGAAAGTACAAAATTTGGATCACCGTTATTTTTTTGGTATTCTTCATGGGCTCATATTGGCTGTTGATCTCAAGCTCGTTTGTCCTTCTGGTTTAGTTCATTGAAACTTTCATTACAAAAGCTAACTTTGTATATTTTTCAGTAGTTATCAAACTAAACCAATTCGTGGAACACGGATAGGAGTTGCTCAGATGGATGGGATGACAAGAAGACCTGTTGACGAGCTCCCACCGTGTGCTAAAACGCTTCTCTTTATTTTCAGAGACATTGCTGGATTGGGGTCTGAATTATCTTACTATGTACGTAAATCCATATTATCCTTGTCCTTGATAAGAAGCTGATGTACATACTGTCGTTTTTCAGGGTGAAGCGGCTGCTGTGGCATCCATGCTCAACTACACGATCCTTTTGGATGATTCAATTTGGAACTACGGGAGACTGAGCGTGAGTGATGGCTATTTCGCTTGAAGAGGCGTCACATATACTGACTCTTTATCTCCAGGACTATTTCGATATACCCCCACTTGCTTGTCGACCCCCTCAAAACTGGAGAGAAATGCCACGGGAACGTTTCGCAAACGTTGGAGTGAATGAGTCTGATCACGTGTGGGCAAATCGTGACATGTGAGTCGATATGGTCCTATACTTTCTGGTGATGGCTCTTTTGAATACCTTTCTATTTGTAGTGATGTCAGTTATAGTGGCTACCTCCTGCAACACGTCGACTCCCGCGCCATAGACACTCACGCTGTTTGGAACTTATTCAATTATCGAGAACAGAGGACTATCTTACCCGCCGTACAAAATCTGCATCATTCAGTGAAGCCCATCTTTGATGCGAAATCAGGAGCTTTTCGGCACATATGGAAGCCAAATAAAATGATTTTGGAAGAAGTCAAAAAATTAAAGGTTGAGCTCAATGAAAGAATGCTTGCTCTTGAAAATATTGTGTCTCATCGCAGGTCTTCAGCTGACTTTGATTTAGATTCTCCCATGGCCAGAAGACTGATTACTATACACTTCAGATTGGGAGACAAGATAATAGAGAATGATGCTATGAAACCTGCCGAGACTATCGGAATAAAGCCGGCTCAGGGAAACCCTCACCCATTTTTTGAGGTAGTCAAATCCTATGTGCCCGACTGGAAGACATCCAAAGAGCTGCCAGTCTTATATATCCTGTCCGATGATCCCGAAGGCGCCTTGAAGATGTTCGAAGAATATCAATCATTCTATCCCCCTTCACAACGCTTTCCGTTAATAGTCTCACCCAAAACCATCTCGATTTCTGAACACGGGCATCTTCAGTCAAAATTCAACTCCGCCCCATTGGATGTCAGAAAGAAGCTCGCCACAGAACTAATACGTGATCTCACATTCGCTGTCGACAATTCCGAGTCAATTGTCTGTAGTTCCGCTAGCAATCTTTGTAACATCATGTTCCTACTGCGTGGCTCTCAGGATCTGATTGGTCCAACAGGATCATGTAGAAGTGTAGATGTACGATGGTATCCCAATTACATGATCCATCCATTCAACGAGCTGAGTCTCAATATGACCAAGGATCGTGAAAAGATTCTTGAGATGATTCCACGCTTAGCTACTGATCCAAGAAACTATATAGACCTCTGAATGTCCATAAAATCAGAATGACATCATCAGGTGTCCGACTCCTAATGGCCAATTGTATACTGCATTCCAAGATCAAATTGTTTACATTGAAAAAAACATAGATAGAATAGATTTAATCTGTTGAATTAAATTTTGGGGAAACAAGACAAGGTGTTGGAGGAAGTTGATGATTGATATGAAGTGATGACTTGGATTATTTGTATTTATGAATTCATTTATTTGTATCTAGCCTGTTCTCAGTGAAATTGTTATTTTTTAGTATATCAGATATTTTATTTTGATTTGTAGACTGTGACATGAATTCAGAAAGATATCCTTTGGTTCTAGAATTCTCTTGTTTTTCAAGATCATGCAAGGAATCATGTATACCAATTAATCGAACGAGAAGACTGAAGCAATCAAGGATGTTTTATGACTTCACCCTTCAGGTACAGATATGAGTTTGAAGTTTGAAGCGGTGTCGGTGGTCTAGCGGTGTACATATAGTTCAATATGTATGGAAATGTTTATCCCTAACTTTAAGATGAGTTGTGTATGTTTAATTAGTTTGGTTGGGTTCGATCGGTCGGAACCGCGATTGGCCACTGGAATTCGATTTGACCTCTTTCTTTCTTTCTTTCTTTATTTCTGCTTCATCCCCATTTCTTGGTTATTCCTCATTCAACAAAACATACCTTTCATCAATTAATCATTTCTTGTTTCCTTTTTTCTTAAATTCTCATCTTACCCAATTCGATTAGATCAACTCAAGAATCAAAAAATCAAAGAAAACATGGTGATCATTTGTCCGAATTGTCCTAAATCCAATTTGATACATTGTAAAGTTCTACATCAAACTGATCCTAACTTTGGTAAAGAGTATCATGCTTGTTCGAATTGTCAATCAAAATGTAAACCAAAAAAAAATCAAAAACACATTTTCTTTCATATTTCCCATTTCTAAATATCCAAAATAGACTAAAAATACTAACTTGATGGTTTGATTTCTGTTTGATATATATATAGGGTATGATGATGATCCAAATTTACCTAAACCTGAACCTGAATCAAAGAAGAAGAAATCTGTTTGGGAAAGATTAGGAACTTGGGGTTCTCCAAGTTTACCAGATGGAATGAATCATACTGCAACTTATATCTTTCCACCTGTACATGATTACCCTCAGGTCGGTTTTCTTTAAATCGATTCCCATTTCGTTTCATTTGACTGATGTTTTGATTTGTTTTGATTTGTTTTGATGTTAGATGGTCTTTCCTATTACTGGGAATCTGAAACCGAACTTTGTCAATAGCGATCGAATGAGTACTCAAGCCGGTAAAGATCCGATCAATCCTCCTGTAGCTCAACCAACACCTTCAGTTCATGATCTTGATATCCAACCTGCACCACCACCTCCTGCCCCATCGATTCATGAATCAATAAGAGAACCGAGTCCTATACCACCACCTCCTGAACCGACTCCTGAAGCTGTACCGGAACCTGAAATACCTCAATCGGTTCAACAATTAATTGAAGAAGAAGAAGAAAATGCACTTTATGAGAAACTTTTAAAAGTGGCAACAGATTCACCATTACCTACTCCTTTAAACAAACCGATTGATGAACTTTTAGAAGAATTATCTTATCATTCAAGAGCACCATCTATTATACAATCTCAATTACATACACCGATCTTAAATGAAGGTGTACTTAGTCCAGTGCCATCAATTCATGATCGATCACCTATTTTAGATACAGGAATGATGACACCGATAGAAGAAGTGATTGCAAGAGAAGAAGAAGATGAATTAAGAGAAAAACTGTTTAAAATCATCTCAAGTCCAGCACCTGGTACACCGATGATTTATAGTAGTCATGTTACACCACATCTTTCAATCAATAGTCCAAAATCATCAACTCCAATACCGGTGATCATTCAATCTAAGGAAGAAAAAGAAGCAGAAGAGTTCAGAGAAAAACTTTATAAGATTGTGGCTACACCACTTAGGGTTCCATTACCTGAAAGTCAAGTTGGATCACCATCCTTAAAGAAAACAGAAACATCTAATAGTCCGAGGGTGTTACCAACTCATACACCTTTGATTGAAAGTTTAAAAGAAAAAGATCAAGAGATCTCATCGTATGCTGAAAAGATTTCGAAACGATTAGATGAAGCAATCTTAAATTCACCTTATATTAAATCACAGTATTTATCACCTTTATTAAGTCCAATCAAATCTCAATCCCATCGATCAACATCAACCAAAAAAAGTGTAGGATGCAAACAACCTTCAAATCATAAATCTAATCCGAACTCAAGATGTTCAACACCCAAGTTGATTTCTAGATCTAACACACCTAAATTGAATGCGATTTCAATTCCCGAAGAAGAAAAAGAACCTCAAATCCCAGGTAGTTTTGTTAATACACCTAAATCTAATTATCTTGGTTCACCTTTACCTAATCCTCCTTGTTTGTTTGATTGTCAACAATCTGAAACAAATGAAAGTCATTCAAAAGGAAAGAGTAAAAGAAGAGTTAGTATTGTGACTACTGGTAGTCATCGATCTCATTCTCCTTTATTTAGTTGTTGAAGAAAAATAACAACTTGAAGCGGTTTTTTTGAGGGATGAGTTGGAGGTCTGGGATGTAAAGTGTGGGGTGGGGTTGGGGTCTTGAAGGATTGGCTTGATTAAGGTTATAAGTTATATATAAATTTGGATTTGATTTGGTGTTCAAGCGTTGGTTTTGAAGAAAGAAAGAGTTATTTGATCAGATGGATCAATCAAATTATACAGTTTTTTGGTAGAATATAAATGAATAAATGTAAAATGTCTTGTGGTGGTGGTAGTGGTTTTTTTTGGGAAATTCAAGAATTAGTAATTTAAGTTAAAATAATGTGTAAAGAAGTTTTCTAAAAGTTTTTTTTCTTGTAATCTTCTTCTTGTTTTGTTATCATGTTATTATTGTTGTTGTTGTTCACATACCATACATGAAATCTTTTCATGAGATAAGTTTTTTTGTATTTAAAAGTTTTGAAGGAAAAACAAAAGTAGAATTAATAAAGAAGATGAAGAAACATGAAGTTTATTGAATGAATGAAAAGAAATGAAACATTATTGAAAGTCTTGATTTGATTGGTGAATTCTTTGAGTTCTTCAATGGAAAAATATATAAGTCAGCATAATGGTCACTTACATCTAGATCATCCTTCAGGTTGTTTTACAATAACAGATGTGCAAAGAACTGAAAGGGAAAGGCAGTAAGAAAGATTCTCATTGTAAGTTGGTTGAAAGTTGTATCAAAACATTTATGTATGACTTGATTTACCAAAGAGAGTACATGGTGTTTGAAAGCTTCACTAGATGCTGATCAGTATGGGAGCTATATAGTTGAGTGAAAATCTGGTCTGTATGAGGATTCAAATTGGTCATGCTGGCCAAGGATAATTGAAGCTTTGAATGCATGTTGTGATGAGAGATAGTTTTTTGTAACCTGTTGTACTTTTTGTGTGTAAGAAAATAGAGCAGTGATGGTGTATAGGGGGTGGGTTTGACAAAGCAAAAGATTGCAAAGATATGCTTCCGTGAAGTATGTCTTTTGGGATTAATATTATGCATGGATCCATTTTGGCTAGAGTCATGGGATTTGTCAGTGTCTTGTGATGTACGGCACAAAGGACGCTACAATTGAGGGGAATTATAATTTTTACAACGAGTTACTAAATAATAAAAGGTACATGGAAAAACATCACATTGAACATCAAGTTCATCATTACCCCAACCCCACCTGGTATCATGAAAATTAGTTCTTCAACCTATACCTCGTTAAAAAGTACCAATAAAATTATATACAACGGCCACGAGCAGTTCCGATAAGATGTCTTGTTTGATCTGCGTTCTGGTTGGTTCACAATTCAGAGCTCAACGTAGTTTCTGGGATCAGTAGCCAAGCGTGGCATCATGGCTAAGATTTGCTCACGATCCTTAACTGCATCAAGGCTAAGTTTGTTGAACGGATGCGCGAGTCCAGTGGGGAACCAGCGTACATCTACACTTCTACACGAGCCTGTGGGACCAATGAGATCTTGAGAGCCACGTAGGTGAAACAATAGGTTACAAATATTGCTAGCTGAACTACAGACGATTGAATCGGAATTGTCGACAGCGAATGTGAGATCACGGATCAATGCGACGGCGTGCTTTTTTCTGAAATCCAAAGGGGCAGAGTTGAATGTTGGCTGAAAATGACCGTGCTCAGTGATAGAGACGGCTTTGGGTGAGACTATGAGTGGAAAGCGTTGTGAAAGGGGATAGAATGATTGATATTCTTCGAACATCTTCAAGGCCGCTTCAGGATCGTCAGACAGAACGAATAGGACTGGGAGCTCTTTGGATGTCTTCCAGTCGGGTACATAGGATTTCACTACCTCGAAAAAAAGGTGAGGAATTCCTTGAGCTGGTTTCATTCCGATATCGGCGGCGGGTTTGTTATAATTATTCTCGCCTATCTTGTCTCCCAGTCTAAATTGTACAGAGATCACCTTTCTGGCCATTGGTGAATCTAGATTAAATTCAGCTGTTGAAGTGCCATGGGACGTCTTGTTTTGAGGCGCAAATAGCTTATCATTCAGCTCAACCTTCAATTTCATCACTTCGTCCAGAATCATTTGGTTTGGTTTCCATATGTGTCGATAAGCTTCTGATTTAGCGTCGAAGATTGGCTTCAGCGAATGATGTAGATTTTGTTCAGCGGGTAGGATGGTCCTCTGCTCTCGATGATTGATCATGTTCCAGACAGCGTGAGTGTCTACGGCGCGAGAGTCGATGTGTTGCAGAATATAATTAGTGTACCCACCTAGACTACTCAAGGAAAATCAAAAAGTACTCATGAGGGCCATCATCAGACTATGTCAAAACGTGTATACAGACTCACCTTCCACGGGTTGCCCAGACGTGATCAGACTCGTTCTTTCCGAGGTTTGAAAAAAGTGTACGTGGCATCTCTCTCCAGTTTGAAGGGGGTCGACATTCAAGTGGAGGGATATCAAAATAATCCTGCAGACAGACGAAGAGTCAATATATATAGCCTCAGGCTCTTTCCATTCAAAATGAATATAACTCTTTCCATTCAAAATGAATATGGGCACTTACGCTCAGTTTCCCGTAGTTCCACTTTGAATCGTCCAAAAGCATTGTATAATTGAGCCATGTCGCCACGGCAGCTGCTTCGGTCTGATAGATCATAACGTATCAGAATCTTACCAAGGGACATCAAGGTAGAACTCTACATACCCAAAGAGCTAATTCAGATCCCATTCCGTTGAGACCTTTGAAGGTGTAAAGCATTGTTTTACCGCATGCCGGGAGTTCCTCTACGGGTTTTCCACTAGTGTTGACTACGTGGCTAACCCCTATGCGTACTCTTCGCAATGGTTTAGTCTGATCTTCACTAAGAAAAACAAAGTCAGCTTCGGAAATGAGAGTCTCAAGCCATAAAAATCAACAAACTATTTGGATGTGAGCCAAGAGGAATATATGAACACGATCACCAGCACGCAAGCAACAGAGATCCAGGTTTTGTAATTTGTCTGAAAATGGTGCAAGTAGGAGTTGATTAGACTGAATTCTAGGAATCTTAAACTCTGAGAATCTGCTCACCCATTTCTCATGCACAGACTGCAGGCTTGACCAAAAGCGTGAAGGTCTCGGCCTTTCAATGGGGTTGATCATTGGCATAGGAAGAAAAGGTTCCGTTGTCATTTTGAGAAGCTTGGTATAGAATTTGTCTGTCGAATTTCTTTGATATACTTATTGATTAGATTTTGATATTTCGCTTGAAGTCACAAAGCTTTTCAGCAACGTGACCAATCAAATTATCGGGCTTTAGTTTGCGTTTCTGAAGGGGGGTAGCGAATGAAGTGATTTTGAAAGCAGTAGAAACAATTAAGATGGGATGTTGTATATCTATATCTTCAGACAACCGGTTCCATCTCTGCTCCAAGTGCCACTTCATATCCGCGGCGCCCCCGACAAACCTCACAATAATGCTACAAACGAACAGCATGGCCCCCGCATAGACAACGCCCTGCTAGCACTGGATTTTCTCTGTTCGCATGATGACATGCTCAGCCTTTCCCCCATAGTCAAGACCCTGCCATCACGGCTTACGGCCAATCCATGGCCATCTCCGACAATGGCTACTTTCAATGTTTCATTGACCTAACCAGTTGATACCATAATCCACCATTTGGGACAAAATGAACTTTCTCGGACAAAAGGTACCGAAATTCTGGCTGCAAGGAGAGATCATGTTGTGATATGTTTTGTACCTTTTGATCTATTCTGAATATTTCCGTATGAAAATGCGTTGATGAGGGCTATCTTTTATTCGCATTTTCTTTCTTTATTGAAATATTCGCGCCGCTCATTATCAGAATCCACCGTCTATTAGCTATGACCTTGCATGCCGAGTGAAAGCGGCTTGTGTTTGTCTTCCCATACAGCCGCGTGATTGATCATCATTTCAGAGATGCTCAAATTGAATCATGGGCCAGAAATAAACTTCAATAACCAGGTATAGCACAGTGCACTGCAAGACTTGTCAGCAAGATTGTGGTATCAATTTTGCAATACTCTTCGAATCCCGACGGCGTCGATGTTACCACAAGAGCGTCAGTGTTGGTAACCCCCGTGACTCTCCATCTTTGGATTACCAAAATGTCTCCTGTTTTCTGCTCTCCAAGGAGGAAACTTGAACACTCAATACCCACAACTAGACTCGTAGATCAAATTCAAATCCAGTTTGTGAAGAAGACAAAGAACCTCAAATCCCAGCTAGTTATATTAATAAAACTAGATCTAATTATCTTAATTTATCTTTTCCTAATCCTCCAAATTTATTTGATGTTCATCATTCTGAAACAGATGAAAGTCATTCAAAAGGGACGAGTCAAAGAAGAGTTAGCATTTTTACTACAACTACAGTGAGATTCCTTTATAAGCATGGTGATGGTTGCACCAAATCCCATGCTAATATAAAAAATGCTTCTTATTGGAACAGACCTAATAGCCTATAGGAGCATAAAAAATGCTCAAAATTATGCTATGCTTGAATGACATGCTTGGCACTTGCAACTATTGAAAAATATGTACTACAGAAACCTAGAAGCAAAAATTGACAGACAGTTTTTCAATTGATCTTGGCTTTTCTACTCAATGCAGCCTAATTTACTCCACTTCACCTACCTTTCTTCTCCTTTCTTGCATCACATAGAAGCATAAACACGTGAAAAAATCATGTTATGCTTCTTTTTTCATGCTTCACATGAAATTATGCAAGCATATCAGTCAAAACCTGAAGCATATGCTTAAAATGCTTATAAATCCAAATTTACTGCCCACCAAAAATGGTTACATCATTTTTGATGCTTATCAAAAAATATGCTTGTAAAGGCAATGCTTAAAAAGGAATCCCACTGTAGTCATTGGTACAATTATTCTTTATTTGGCTGTTAAAAAAGAAGGAAAAAAGAAGAACATAATGGTTTTTCGGGATGAGTTAAGGTTTTGTAATGCAAAGTGTGGGATTGGGTGGTGCTCAGAGGCGCAACGGCACCTGTAGAGTTCCACAAAAATTGGGGATGAACAGAAACCCGACGCGAGGGACCCCGGTTGGGGGTGGAGCCCGGCCCGGCGCGAAGGAAGCCTGCGGAAAGCTCAAGCGGGCTTCAGGCTGCCCGGTGTCCTCTAAATATTGTGATAACCTCACATTTTCCTTGTAAGTTTGTTGTTATTGTCAATTTTTCCTTTGTATGATTGCAATAAAACCTTTAACTTTGTTTTTTTCTTTCATCGGACACAAAAAATGTGCAAAATGTGCCTCCAAATCAGTTTATAGCCTTGTGCTATTGGGCCAGCCCTGCCCAATAGGAATGCAAAGCGCTGTTGCGCTAAAGGTCTTTTTAGGCAGTTTGGGCTCAGCATGGTCCAACAAAAGTTGGGGTGAGGGCCACCGTTAACCTTGGTAAGCCAATTGATTGGGTACTGGGATTGTGGTACAATTAGCGCCATGACCTGCCCTGGGACTTTGGGGCCGGGCAAGGCCGGATTAGATTAGGCCTTAGCCCTGGGGTATAATGACATGGGTACGGCCCAAAAATTGTGAAAAGTCACGCCTAGCAAAAGTTCAAATTTGGTAGGGGCACACCTGTATACCAGTTATTCTGCAGGTGGAGGAGTATTGGAGTCTTCAATAATCCCACAACAAACCATCAGCCTGAATGCCCAAAGATAATTAAAAATCCATGTCCTCTCAATCATCAAGCAACTTCAATGAATGGGGCTCACCTGCTGACTTGTGTTCACTCTTCTGGACTAGATTCTTGATGTCTGGAACACATGATCTGAAAAAGAGTTGCTGACTTGCACAGTGCACTCACTACAAGTTAGTCATGGATGGAAAGCCAAGTGGACTTCAGAAGTACAGGAAACACAGCTGCAGATCTATAACAGGCAAGATGAGATTGGGATACATTCAACTCATGGCAAAAGAAATATCCAGTTCTGCTGAAACACCTATCTCAAGCTCAACAGTGCCTTCTTCTGCCATCTCTTTGACTAAAAATCCAGAAATTGTCCTCCATTTTTGTTGTGATGAGACGCTTCACCATTGCTCACAAACCAAGCAAGACAAAATGGATGTGCTTTACCAGATACTATGGGAAGCAATGATCAGGGGACACATACCTTTCAATATCCTCCACAACCCCGCCTTTTGATTTTATCAAGAGCACCTTTGTGAGGGTAGGGTACTCTTTGGGAGTACTCAAGGCTCACTAATTGGGCAGAGGGTAAGGTTTTGGTGTTAAATTTTATTCTTTTATTTCAAATATGTAGTAGTTACAATCTGAAATTGAAATAACTCAAGGCAGGTCGTAACACCTGTGCGTATGAGCAAATGTAAAACCTGGACAGACAGGTTGTGTCGTGAGCTCAATATGCTCAGACGACTGGAGATGAAAAGAAGGCGGAGAGGTTCGACACCCTTACCTGCAGACACGCAGGTTAAACAACGGAAAAGATCTGAGTAATCTCGTTCCTAACGGTGTATATATTCACGACTAGCAGAGAAACACATAAATGAGAGAAACACATAAGAGAAATAGCTAAATCACCTGGACAGACAGGTTGTGTCGTGAGCTCAATATGCTCAGACGACTGGAGATGAAAAGAAGGCGGAGAGGTTCGACGCCCTTACCTGCAGACACGCAGGTTAAACAACGGAAAAGACTATCGACGAGAGAGTGAGTAAGGTGATAGTAGTGATAGACAGGACTGAGAAACAAAGAAGCAAAAAGAAAAACGTACTCTGACACCGCGGGAATCAATAGGTCCGAGACCCGATTGAAGAAAGTTGCGGTGACAGGGTCCGCAACTTTCTCCAATTGCGGATCTCGTTCGCATTACGTTCGCATTACGTTTGCAGACCTCCCTCTCCTGTTTAAGTTTCATCAGTGTCCCTTGGAAAAATTCATCCTGTACATATTCATAAACGTTCTCGTGCGCGTAGTGTTTGGAGCAGGGTTGATCGTTCACATAGTCAATTTTTCACCACACACACTTTGTGTAGCCATCGATCGATCTCACAGTGATTTTTCCACTTCTGGAATCATCACATAGGTGAATCAAGGGTTTATCTCCCCAAGTTCAAAATAATTCATAAAGTGGAGGTTACCAATGAGCTGTTCAACTTGTGTTTTATTCATAGGATTGGTAATTGGTTTGTCTCCTGTTATCATTGGCTCATCTAACGTCTATAATCCACTATGATAAAGTCAACAATGATTAAATTAAAAGTATAAAAAAGCCAACGAATGTGAAAGGAATGTGATAAACAACATCAATTGACTACAGTAGTATTAGTAAATAGTGACATTGATGGATTGAAGTGGAAGTGGTTGCCAAAGGCCTGAAATTGAGCAAGGTAGAAATCCAGATGAAACTTGATGTTGCACTTGAGGTATTGGAGATGTGAAAGTTGAGGTTGTGCGTGGAGAGTCCGGTGAGTAGCAAGCGAAGTGGTGAGGGGAGGCGAGTCCAGTTCTCCTTCTGTGGATAAAAATCCTTTTCTGAGTTTTACTCAAGGGTGGTCAGCAAACGTAATGCGGACGTAATGCGAACGAGATCCGCGATTGGAGAAAGTTGCGGACTCTGTCACCGCAACTTTCTTCAATCGGGTCTCGGACCTATTGATTCCCGCGGTGTGAGTAATCTCGTTCCTAACGGTGAGGAACAAACTCAGAGCGCGAGAGAGTGGGAGTATATAAGAAAAACAATTGGTTCGAACACAGAGAAAAAATTCAGACAATGTGAGAACTAGACCAAAAAGGGAAGCATGTGTGTGGAATGTAAGAACAACTTGTAACACCCAATCCCAATGCGGCATAAACCCAACACTCCTTATCCTGATTTGGTGAATACTCTCCTGGCTACCTCTTCTCCTCGAAACCCTTGTACTAACCTGCCCACTCCTCTTGCTGCTCCTTCTTGCTTGTGATGTACTTGACCCTAACTCACTCTTTTACCATAACAGAAATAACAGAGAGAAAGAAAAAAAGAAAGAACTAGCAGTCTACTGGGATAAATCCAGGTAGACTACAGCTAGATGATTCCTAAAAAGGAGATTTAAGTTATAATTATTACATATAATGATTAGATGGAAGCTGGATCCAAGACTT